GGGGGTTTGCATTTTTCCACTTTCTCCAGGGGGTTTCCCTGGGGTCCCTGGGCCCCCCCCCCCCCAGTCGAAAAACATGGACAACTGGAGTTACCAAATTGCCCATAGGTGTGCATAGTGTGTGAGTGTGCCCTGCGATTGGTTGGCACCCCATCCTGGGTTGTTCCCTGCCTTGTCCATGTAGTAATGAGCCAAGCTGCTGAAGGCAGGAAACTGAAGTGAGGACACTGGCTTCTGTCAACTCATAGTTCCACTGTCCAGAGACTGTAGCAGGCAGCTATTTGAGCTGAGATGGTCATCTGTTGCAATATGGAAGAGCCCGGGCGAACTCCTTGGGAGTCTTGTCTGTTGTCCCAGTATATGCTCCGGCCGCAGTGAGTGACGTCTCACTGCCGGAGACATTTTACTCACAACTTCACTCGGTTGTTGATGAGTGCCCACGAGGTGACACTGCTCTGGTCATGGGTGACTTCAGTGTGACCACTGGGACTGACAGGGCTGACTATGAGGATTGTGTCAGTTCCCATGGGTTTGGAGACCGGGGTGAGAGTGGCTCCATGTTCCTTGACTTTATAATAATAATTATTATTATTTTATGATGTTAATCATCATTTTATTAATGCCTGTGGGGAAATTGTCTTTTTTTTTTTTTTTTTAACACCTCCGTCAACTTGCTCTTTGCAAGCAAGCTGTCTGTGAAGGGCAGCCACCCATGGCAGCGCCCAGGGAGCTGGGGTTAAGGGCCCTGCTCAAGGACCCACAGATGTGCTGAGGCTGGGTTGGAACTGGTGACCTTCAGTTTACAAGCACACAGGCTTAGCCCACTGAGCCACATGCTGCCCCCCACGTCTGTGAAAGATCGGGGTTGCGGGTCACTGGATCCTGGTTCCAAGACCCTGAGTCGCATCTTTGGACCTGTTTCTTATGAGTTTTCAAGCAGTTTATGTGAGGAAATTGCAGACTTGGGTGCAACTGCTGACTCTAATGTGATGTGGGAGACCTTCCTTGGTAAGACCCTGAAGGTTGTTGGTGTTGCCAGTGTTCCCAGAAGGAAGTGTTTCGTCTCACAGGGCACCCTGGATATTATCGAGAGCAGTTGCAACGCACGACTTGGTGGCAACTCCAGTCTGTAGCGGAAACAGTGGCTATGAGTGTTCTGAGGGCAGATAAGGAG